GAAAGAATAGAACGGAGAAATGATTTCTCTTAAAATGGAAACATTATATAATTCCTTAAGCTCAAATAAAACAAAACATTGTTTTTTTGTAATTTATTTATTTTTTCACCATTTATCGTAAAACTTTCCTACGGCACACCGCGCGTCGCAGTCGCGCACCAATATTCCGCCTTGTGTATGTCGAGCGCGTCCTCTCCCTCTCTCTCTACACCTGTCTCTCTCTCTCTCACGTCCCTCTTCTCCCTCGCTACACCTCGCGCCCCGTCCCCGCCGCGCATGCGCCGGGCGGCAGATGCGTGCCGGGGACGGGACATTTCGGTGTGCGATTTACAAATAAGCCGAGACATAAAATAAAGATTCACAAAAATTCCCTCAACTGCCAAGATACGAGTTTTCTGTTTTTACAGTTTTTGTGTCAATCGATTTTACAAAAATAAATAAGCGTACAAAAGGTTACATTTTAGAAATACGATAGAAATAATATATATCGACGTAAGTACACACAAGCACCATCTAGCAGCAGTTTGACTGCTCTCTCACCATCCTGCGGGCGGGGCGGGGGCAGGGACTCTCGGCCCCCGCCCCGCTGCCCCGCCCGCCCTCTCCACGCAACTCCCAACCAAAGTAACATAAGTAGCGAGGCGCGCCGCTCCCCCCTCCCCCTGGGCCCACACAATTTCATTGTCAACAAACCGAAAGTCGCTGCGAGCAGGGGGTGGGTGTGTGTGTGTGGGGGGTGGGGAGAGCGACGCGCGGTTTCGCTCACTAAACTCGATAACACGTCAATATAATTCAATCAGGAGATCTGTCAATATTCGAAATATTTTATACCAGCTAGTGAAAAACAATAGAAAAACAACAAGTATATAAAATACTATATAATAATAAACCTATAGGAAGTTACATCACACAATACAATCTTTGGATACAAAATGTCGCGGGCGCGCTCGCCGCCGCCGCCGCNGCCACCGCCACCGGGCAGGGCGCACGGCCGGCGGGCGGCGGGCGGCGGGCGGCGGGCGGCGGCGGCGGGCGCGCCGCGCTACGCGTACCGATGCAGTCTCTTCGCGCCGTGTCTCACACGACTCCGACAATTTTGAAAACAAATCGAAAAACTCTTTAACCTCATCTCATGAGCCGCCTCAGTCCCACAGTTCCATTCTTTACGATATCAAAGTTAGCAAACTACCGGCGCATATTGGGTGCCTTCTGTTTGTCGCTTCGATGTTCGGAAGTATCTCTTGTTCGGGCATTCCGCGCCAACGTCCACGCCGAGGTGCTCTCTCCATACACAACACCCAATATGCCTTCACCATTTCACCTACCACCACAATTCATAATGCAATCTATTTTTTTTACTTAGCTCCTCGCGAACATAGTTCACGCCTAATAACCGAACGTCCGCCGCACCGCGCGTCTGGTACACGAGTGTGGCGCGGCTAGAGCGCGGCTAGGACGCGTGGCGCGGCGGTCGCAGCCAATGCAAACCTATCTAGACAACGCCCTGTCGCTCGGTACACTACAGAACACAGTTTGTATCCATCATCTCCACCCCGGGGAAACATTTAGATGGCGGCCAGGCGGTGCCCGAGCGCGACGCACCGTCACCCGTCGGGCACCGTCGGGCCGCCGGGTACCCACACTATACATACAATATTTAGGACACAAGATTTTAAAATCATTTAACCCTACAAATCATTATCCTTTACGACATAAACTACAATCGATTGGCAGTATTCGTTCACGTTCACGTTCACGTTCACCTCCACGCGTCCATATCTCCGGCGTATCCTCCTCGCATCGTCAGCTCGCAGTGATCCCGTGTAACCGTTTACCTAAGCTACAGACGCGACCACTTTGCGGCGGTTCGCCGATTCCCGCCTATAATCCTGTATTTTTAACACGATCGATAATTTTTCTTTCTATATCTTTTTAATAATACATAATATAATATATTTTCTTCTTTCAATTTCAGGTACTGTGGTATTGCTTATATGTAACTAAAATGAAGTTGTAGTTTTCGTTGCGGCGGTTAGATCGTCGGGGGGTCGCGGTCGCTATTGCAGGGGGTGGGCCCGGTGGGGGGGTGGGCCCGGCGGCGGGCGGCGGTCGCGGGCGGCGGGTGCGCGGGGGGTCAGGGCGGTGCACCCGCGCCACTTCAAACGTAACGCATAGATAAATTATCTCTTTAGCAAAACATCAATCAATATTAGAAATATAATTAAAACTAACGCACTAATATATCTCTCATAATAATTTCTTTTTTACTTTTAGTTTTGCGATAGTGTCGTTTCATATATCTATTTATAATAAGTATGAACGTGTATGGAGCGGGGGCGGGGTGGGGGCGGGGCGGCGGCGCGCGTGGGCGGGGCCGGGGGCGACACGTATCTGACAACTGTCAGAAGCTGTACGGCTCAGGGCATTGTACCAGGCCGATAATGAGTTATGCCGCGGGGGCGGGGGGCGGGGTGGTCAGAGTCGTGTCGCTGCGCCGCTGCCCACTACTAATTATTATAATAATTGACTAAGACGTCAGAGCACGCGGGGCCGAGCGGGCATAGGGCGGGCTCACGACGGGCACACGGCGGGCACCGGGCGGCCGTTTCGCGGACGCGCCGAGTCAGCGTAACTCTAATATTATTTTGAACGTTACCGAAGGCGACTCAATAGTGATAGAAAGTAATCTGCAACTGATCCCCGTAATATCATTTGTAACAGCGCTTACAGCGATCGTTTTATCTAATGCGAATTTCCTTTTTAAGGCTAGTTTCTAAAAAAGTACTTATTGCTTTCATCAAAATAAAACCGAAACGAAGCGCCTTAACATTATCCGAAGACCGTCCCTACAGAGCTGGACGATGCTGCGGCAAAGTGTAGTCTCGAGTGGAAGTGGAGCAGCGTAAAAGGGTTAAGTATCGGGGGCCAGGGGCCGAAGATGGGGGCCAGGGGCCGAGGACGGGGCGCGGGGGCGGGGCTGCGAGCCGGGCGCGCCCCCTGCCGCGCCACGTGCCCACGCGCCAGCTTCCTAACGTACGGTCTATGTTAATATAAACTTTACTTTCAACATGTACATACATCATATAGTACCGAGGTCCGCCCGCGCCGCCCCGCACCGCCCGCGCCTACTCGCGCCTACTCGCGCCGGGCGAACCTCGACCATCATTTATAATTTTTTATCTTTTCTAAATATAAACTCTGTAGATCTTAAACGACTATGAAACTAAAATTACATTTTGTACCATAAATTGTTAAATTGAAACTGGTTGCGAGGGATGCCCGCCCCCGCCACACCCACTGAGAGGTAGAGGGGTGGCGAGAGGGCGAGCGCGGGGTGCCCCCCCAGGCCCCCGAATTAAATATAACTATCCTAGCTTAGAGTAAACCCACAGGTACTCCGTCCCCGCTCCGTTATATTAAATATTTTATTCGTAAAGACGAGTGATTTTTTTTATAAATGTATTTATCTTTTTCTATATGTAACATATAATCGGACGTCACCAACTTATCCCATTCTATATAAGACTATGATTTTTCGAGGGAAATGTACTGAATTAAAACTACTCGTGGACGATCCGACCGCGCCGGCCCCGCGGCGAACGTGCGGCGAGCACGGGGCGAGCACGCGACGAGCACGCGGCGCGGGCGCGGTCGGGCGAGAGGCATCTATTACTATGAGTCGAAATGTCGATCGCTATTATATTATATTTATACCGTCGGAGACGCCGACGAGAGCGAGCGTCCTCGCGACATCTAAGACACGACGGACAACAGGAATAAAATAACAGGAGGGAAGCAATTGCTAGCTGCGATACTCTTCTCTATATATCTATCACTTAAATCTCAAATTGATTTGTTAGCTGCGTCACGAGCGGCAGCGGCAGCGGCGGCGGCGGGCGGCGGCGGCGAGCGGCGCGGGGCAACACGTCACCACCGCCACCGCTGCTTCGGAAATATATACATATTCCGATGATACACATGATGCATTCGCTCAACAAATATTTATATATATTTATATATATACAAGTGGAACCGGCAAGTGGACACAGTCCAGTCGTTGCCGCTAAAATTTCACGAAAACAAAAATGGGCGAGTTTGGAGGGAGCGGCGCCGGGTGTCGGCCCCTCCTCCTACATCTATATGTCGCAGTGACACGTGCACAAGGGGAGGTCGGCCGGAGTGCGGCGCCCGCCCTCCCCCGGTAAAGCACGCGACGCGCACCGCGATGCCTGCTCGAGTAAAAGCTACCAATAAAAGGTGAAAACGTTACGAGGTGATGCAGCGATAGTTAAATAGTAAAAAAAACAAAATAAAATGCATAAATACATTTAGTATGCACAAAGGTGTAGACGCGGCGCTGCTGTGCGCACGTCTGCCTACACACGTACGTACACATGCGCACGCGCACGAGCGCTCCCCGCGGGCAGCCGCGGACACGCCACTTGCACGTATTATGCTTCGAATGACTTTCTTAGTGTGGGGGTGTGTGTCGCGGGGGTGTCGCGGGGGTGTGGGGGTGTCGCGGCGGCCGCGGGCTGGCACGGGGTGCTTACAACTTAACCTAGCCGCATGGACGCGGCCGCGCCCCCGCCCGGAGGCGGACGACGCGACGTAACTAAATACATACTCACCTAGACTAGTTCACTGCTAAGCAGATTTTTTTTAAACGAACGCCAAATTTTTTGTAGTTTTTCCCTATCCAAATAATCACACGAGGAAGTAAATTTTCACAAAATTCATTTTCTTACAAATAAACAGAGCGGAGTCCGCTCCCGGCCGACGGACGCGCGGCTCCTCCTACGACCGCGTCCATCTTACACGATTAACTTTTTAAATCCGTCGGATCGTACGCCTACGAATATATCACAGCAGTGCGCTACTTATCTATAGCTTCTAGACGGGCGGGCCGACACGACCCCCGCGCCGGGCCGCCGGGCACCTGGCGCCGGGCACCTGGCGCCGGGCGCCGGGCACCCGGCACCGGGCGCCGGGCACCCGGCACCGGGCGGCGGTCGCCCCGGCCCGCCCGCTCGCACGCGCCCTGTAAACACCCGGTGTCATACTCCTGAGGCTGCGGCCGAGTGAAATCCTCACCGACTTTATATACCGATGCATTTTTATAATTAATCAATATTGCGCATCGCCAATCTAAAATCTTCCTTAACTTCCAATTTGTTTAATCGTGTAATTAATTATACATTTTTAATACATAAATCATATGATTTTCTCTAATTTCAAGTTTGATAATTCACCTGGATTCACCCGGTTACAGTGCGGTGCGGACAGCACTCGGCCCGCCTGCCCCGTGCCCCTACACCAGCATTCAGTTAATGTGGTACAGACAAAACGTATACGCCTACGAACTAGAGAGTGGCATGTTGCGCTCTGCATGCAGCTTCTCGCAGCTTCTCACACTGCACCAGGATCGGTTACAATTATTGCAACAAGTTACCAGTGAGCCGGCGGGCCAGGCGGGCCTGGCGGGCCCGGCGGACCCGGTGGGCCCGGCGGAACCGGTGGGCCCGGTGGACCCGGCGGGCCCGGCGGGCATGTCGGCACGCCTGCTATCACAACTATTTATAGATACTCTTACTCGTTCAACCGACCGATTCGGTCGCTTTGAGGGCAGCTCGTTGCCACGCGACGAACTATTTACACAGATTCAAAATAAAAAGTAAAACGTCATTACAAAAAAAAAGCTTAAAGCTGTTAGATAAAGTAACGCGCGCCGCAGCCGACGCACGGGGCGACAGGCGACACGCGTCCCGGCGCGCCGTCACGTCGTCGCGCCGTCACGCCGTCACGCCGTCACGCCGCCGCAGCCTGACGCGAAGAAGCTTCGGGCGGGACCGCGTGTTGTCGGAGCGGCGCCGCGCGTGCGGAGTGGAGGGGGCCGCTACGTCGTTAGATGACTATATACAGATGCGTGTTGCGGGGCGGGGGGCGGGGCGGGCGAGGTGGTGCCCGCGCATCAAATCCGGCCGGGGGCGCTGCCGGTGAACGTGTCCTGCAACGGAGGAGCGAGCGGTGAGCGGGGGCGGGGGCCGGGGCCGGGGCCGCGGCCGCCGCGATACTTACGATATTGCCGGAGGGCTGCGCGCTGCCTGCCCGCGGCCCCGGCCCCGGCCCCGGCCCCGCCTGCGACACGAACAAAAGGCACGCGTCACGTCTCGCCTCCATTTAGATATTGTGAGTATTCAGGTAGCAGGGGACGGAGGGGCTCACCTGTAGCGCGTCGTGCGCGTGCGTGCGCCCGATCTTGTCGCAGTAGTCGGCGAGGATGTCGCGGAAGCGCGACCAGCACTTCTCCGGCACGGTTATCGCCGTTCGGAAATTGCTTTTGACCTGCAACACCACGGATACTACAGTAGAAGGGGGATCCTGCGAGCGGCACAGCGGCACAGCGGCACTGCGGCACTGCGGCACTGCGGCATAGAGTGGGACAGGACACGTACCTCGCTAACTTTCATGTAGATGCCGCGGTTGTTCTGTCCGATGTCGAAGTAGAAGTTCTTGTTGTCGACGCGCAGGTGCCGGCCCTCCGGCAGGTCGCCCTTGAACCTGCCGCAGACAGGCGCACGACGCATTAACACTCGCCCCGCACCGCACGAGTACGCCCACATCACATCTCGTTGGGCGCAACGTGTAAATACATCTGACGCTAAGCCCCCCTCACCCCTTCACCCCCTCACCCCTACTCACAATTATTTACTTGAATGTAATCGACGAATCTAAGCGAGACTATTAGCTCAAAAGTCCATATCGTTTGAGATGTTGTAGTGGACATGTGTTCATTAATTAAGTTAGCGGATTACGCAGCGTCCGATAACAAAGGTGAGAGAGTTGTTGTGAAGCTGAAGCAAGGCGGTGCATCATTATGATATGCGGTAATTGCGAGCCGCTCGACCAGCGTCCCAGCGCAAGGTAATCTGCTAGCAGTAGTAAGGCTGCACGTAGAGCGTGTGGGGGTGTAGAGCGTGTGGGGGTGTAGAGCGTGTGGGGGCGTAGAGCATATAGAGATAGAGGAGAGGGAGGTACGGACCCGCCGTCGTCGGTGCCGAAGTCCTCGAGCAGGTCGGTGAGGGCGTCGCGGAACTCGATCATGCCCTGGGCGGGCAGCGCCACCTGGCTGCGAGGGCCGCCGCGCGTGATGGTCTGCGAGACGCGCAGGAAGCGGCCGCGCGAGTTCTCCTTCAGGTCCAGGTAGTAGCGCCGGTTGTCCTGCGCGCACGCACACAACACTACACCAACACTAACATAACATCGCACTTACAACAAACTCAAACTTAGCATTCAGATATTTTCATTGTCCTGTCCTGAAAAACTTTTAATAAAGTTGATTAAACGAGGTTATGTTGAAAGAGGGGCGATGTTTGTGTGCAAGAGGAATGCGTCGGCGTGTACCTTGAGCATCATCTCGGACTTGAGCTTGCCGTCGTCGGGCACGGTGTCGGGGTTGGGCGGGCCCAGCGAGGAGTAGAAGTCGCTGAAGGAGGAGAGGTAGTCGCGGAACTCGGCCGCCGTCGACATCGCCAGGAAGATCTGGCTGCGCCGCCCGTCCGCGCCGATCTGACACACACGGCTTTGTTTATAACATCCACAAATTAAGTCCTCTTAGTCTTGTTGTCTTGTTGTATTTATAGCTAGCTTCATAATTAATGATATTCTCAATACAAGACTAGTTCATGAGAACCCCTCGATTATTTCCTAATGTCCTTGCAATGAATGGCCGCTAGCAACTATTTACGAAATCGGAACGTATGGCCCTGGGGTGCGAGTAAAAAAATGCTCAATCAGTCGCTAGCACTTCTCAATAGCAATTCAGTTTATCATATCGGAAATTTCTATGGCCTTTTATGATATTTATTCATTTGATTCATTCAAATTAAACATAATAAGTCCAATCGTCTCCCTCGTATTTTGAACCCCTTAGTTCGTTTGCGAAGGTCGAAAATTAGAAAAGACTTTTTTAAACTTTAAAAAACTTCAAAGCACCTAATATTGATACTACACCGATGGGTAGTCTGTCGCTTGGTTTCACAGGCATTAAATTTAAAATGTGATAAGGACATGCTAAAACACGTAACATTTGTCGATTTGCGCACTGGGCGATAATGTTATCCATCATCTGTTGGGTGCGCGTTATCTCGCCGATATGATGACGGGGTTATGTAAAATTTGTTTGCTGAAATAAGGACCAATCTACGCTTCAAATGGATCGGTTACAGATATTGTACTTGGTTTATTTCTTATGCACATCATTACTACATCGTGGCGGATAATTGTGGCTGAACTGACCTCGGCGACCTTGATAAACCGGCCCCGCCTGTTCTGCTTTACGTCGAGGTAGAATCTCTTTGACTGGATCTGCAGCATTTTGGTCGCTAGCTCCTGCTCCTGCTGCGATTGACCTGTAACGCGAACAACAAAAATATCTTCATCGTCATCATCATGGCCTTATCCCACTCACGTGAAGTCACGAGAGATCAAGTTTTGTCAACCAAAAATATCTTCATAAATTGGCATTAATTTCATTCATACATGCTTAATCTTTTATTTGTCGTAGTGAAGTTTGGAGGATCCTTAGAGCCTACATATTTTTACTTTAGTGTGCGTGTATGCGTCTTTTTTAAATGTATGCTATGTTAACTACCCTGTTTGCAATAGGCGTTCAATGTGAATGTGTTCCGCAACAGACCGGGCCCCGTGGTTAGAAATCGTATCGATGTCAGCGGGCGCGCTTCACTGCGCACGCGCACGCATGCACGCACGCACCGACACTACACATACTGCGTGCCCCCTCACCCCCCTCCTGCCCCCACCACTCACCACAATAGTATCACTTACTCATTTAAATTATATATTTTGTGCTACTTGGTAGAAACTTATACTCGCGGGGCTGCACAAACATTGTAAAAGCACACTACTTTTTTGTCTTGCCTTGAAGTGTCTTGTCGTATTTTATATTATTCGCATAATCAAAATGAGCTAATTAGTTGAGTACACCCTCGAGGTAGCGAAACAGACATGTCTATGTAATCGTAAGCTATCGATTATCGAAGCCCGGACACATGCGGCAGATGTCCGCCGGCCGCATGACAATTACTACAACACGACTAATGAAATATTAAACTAACGTAACCTTCCCTTCATCTACATATTATGTTTCTAATACATTATTTTGCAAAAAATTGTCGTTAATATAAGGTCTTATAAATGCTTCAAGTCTTACACTGTGATATCAAACAACGCAGTTTATATCATTACTTTATCCTCAACTGGCTCCACTTTGAATCCGGTTTGGATTTCCTTAGCCAAGGCTTAGATCGGCTTTTAAACTGTACTCATTGTATCTATATCTTTATGTCAATAAGAATAAATGTGGACAATTCTATATATTACACACTTTTATTTCGCAAAGACGTTTTAAATATAGCACTTACTGCTAAAAACGATGCTATAGTTATATCTTAACTGTGATACGGGTTTTCTTTGTTAAATATTCATTGCAATTAAGTTCTATTAATAAGTATTATATCTTGTCATCTTTTAAAACGTCGCGTTGATTACGAAAATAGTCGAATAGCGGAATTGTAAATCACGACTTGGTCCTATGTCACATTTCTGAGAGATAAAACTGATAACGCGATCGCAGTGCCTTAATGAATAAAACTTACCGGAGTCGAAATTATTTCCACCCGCGTCCATACTCTGTCCATACTCTGCAAATATAACACAACTACAGTTAGCTAAATTATAACATCATTTACAAAGACTAATACATAATACCAGACAGACAGACAGACAGACAGACAGACGGTTCGGGCATTATTACATTTTTTCTCTTTTGAGATTGATTATCATGTGAGATATCTCCAGCATCATTGAAGATTATTGAAGACATTGAAGAAGATATTTGTAAGCTTTTTTCTTCTTGAATGCTTAGCGAAGCTTTGGAAAATCTAAATATAGCTAGAATAGAAATATAAACAGTAAGGTGAGGGCAGTAAATGAAACACAATATGAAATATCCAGTAAACTATGTGATGTTGCACGCAACATGTAATTTATTATAAAAATGTGCATATAATCATACACACAACATGGCGTGCTATTTATTCATGAGTCAGTTCAGGACAGAAGTAAAGGATCGAATCGTATGAGGCTTGCGGCTTGCGGCGGACACTTGGGATGGTATTGAATAATTTAGTGCCTCAGTGGAGCGAGGCCGCCTCTCTGCCGGTGTAGCGGCGCGACTCTGCAACGATGGACGATGCCACTAGCCATGGGTAACTCGAATAAAATTGAACATCTGCACATCAGGTCACGGTTCACATGTGTGCTGTGCAGCTGATCGGTGAGTCGGCTCACAAATTCAGCTTCATTTGTACCTGCATGGATTTGCGTTTCGAGCTACGAACGAGTCACCAGATTGTAACTTGTCTACTCACAAGGCTTAGATAGTCAATTTAGATGTTGAACCGCTGCTCGACGGTTCAAGTTTATGTGAGCCGACCTTTTGAACCGATTCATAGCTGACTTACATGGTTACCAGACACTCTGTCCACACCGGTGTACGTCTACGCGCAATAGAGCACAAGTGTCAGTTGTCACGCACGCAGTGCACCCAAGGCCGGTCCACTTGTTGCAAACATATTCAATTGATACTCGCTGTATCAGTTTCCCGTCGCTACGATGGCGACGTTTCATTACAATTCATTCGCAAACTTCATCACATATACTTGTAAATTATATGAAATATTACACAAGTATTATAATACCAAATACATTTACTTATTCATTCTAAAACAACTTGTTTCGTTAACAAAGTGTGTTATATTCTGTTCGGAAAGTACTAATTTCTTCCACTGCGATTCCCCAAGCGGTGTATATAATGTAAATAGTCATCTTTTAAAATGTTCATTTCAAGATTGTTTGATTCAGAACAATGCAAGTTCACACAGTTTGTTAATTTCCATGGAATACGTGTGCGAATTCTCGACAACAATTTTATAATTGTTTCTTCATATTCATATGATCATCTAAGTAACTAAAAACAGACCTAAAAATAATACCAATAATTATAGAAGTTTTACGACACATTTGATTAATATATAATAATAGAATAGAATTTAAATATATATATATATATATATATATATATATATACATATATATATATATATATATATATATATATATATATA